AAAAAAAAAAAAAAAAAAAAAAAAAAAAAAAAAAAAAAAAAAAAAAAGTAGCTCAAGGCTCAGTCACTGTGTATGGCTCTTTTGATGATGCAGATACGATTGGGCTCTGGACCCTCTTGGCAACGAAGAGGGGGGGGCCATCGAGTATGGTTGTAAAATTAACTGGTTATTATTATTATTATTATTATTATTATTATTATTATTATTAAACAAAATTGCCTTTTTAGGGCCTCGCCACACCACTCTTGAAAACTAATTTTCAAGAGTCGCTGTGTGGCCTCACAGCCTCTTGAAACTTGGGGCTTTCAAGAGCTGTCAGAGTTCAAGTGGCTCTTGAAAGGGTTTCAAGAGCGGCTCTTGAGAGATTCGAAACCCCAGCCTGCAACTCGTGCGTTTTCAAGCTTCCATGGCCGAACCCTTGAGGGACTATCGATTTTCAAGAGTTGTCAGGCCATTGTCCTGACGGGCGTTCGGAAAAAACAAAGCAGTAGGACTGTCTTTTTGCATCCTTTATCCAGCATCATCGCCCTTTCAAGAGTGTTGTGTTGCGAGGGGCCGAAAACTCGAAAATGTAACTCTTGAAAATGTCTGACAGCTCTTGAAACATTCCCCCGTTTCAAGAGTGGTGTGGCGAGGCCCTTACATTGTTTGGAACCAGGCTCGACATCCCTCACATATGTGCCATGGCCGAACTGTTTTATGACTTGCCAGTAGATAGTAACCAGACTGACGCCCTCCAGAACAGAAAAGGGTTGTGACTCATGAGAGTCACATAAAAAATAAAAAAATGTTCGACTGTCAGACAGTTACGCCCTGGAGAACCAGTGAAGGCCCTCTCTTTTTTTTTTTCCACTGAATCATTTCATAAATTGTTAATAATGAGTCTTGGGGTTGGGGACCCCACAATTCAACCTGGGAGATCTGAGAGTATTACTCAGCTTAACTTAGCAGACTGTTGTCTACGTAATGGACTTTCACCCATCTGAAGAAATCTTGGGTAGTCTTAACAGAAGATATGAGAAGTAATTGGACTAAGGACTGGGAGATGGAACAGGACACCTGGGTTTAGACGCGACCTGTTCCCAGCCTATGGCGGTCGAGCGGAACTTTGTCAAAGTGGGAAGTGACCCTCTGTGATCCAGCCTACAACGATACTCTTGAAGCTTGGTATTGCCCGTTCCTCTTCGTGCCTGTTGTAGTTGGTCGGTGAGACTTGGAGGTTACCCTCTTTGTCCACTGCCCCCACATCTGGGGATCTGGGAAAATATGAAATTGTGATTGATATGTCTTCCTTGCCCTTACACCTCTTATTACCACCTCTCCCACCCCCATTTCCTTTTCCATTGGTTGGGAGATAAGGAGGGAATGTTGAGGTAGAATTGGTAGCAGCATGTCTCGCCATTCGCTTCTCCAACGCAGACTGGGTGGGATTACGCCCACGTGACTGGCCCGAAGAGGCGACACCTATAGTAGGTGGAATACATTGTAGCTGTTCGGGAACCAATCCTAGATACAAAAGGTCCTTCGTAATATCTTACATGATTATGCTTCTGTATTAAGTGTACACAATCATGATATTGGTTTGACAAATGTGATTCAGCATGTGATTCTCACAAGCAACCATCCGCTGATTAGCTGCACTCCTTACAGGTACTCTCCTGCCCAACAGCTTGTTGCCTTTTCGAGAATCAAGGAATTGAAGCAAATGGATGGATTGATCCTACGATCGGTCCGTGGTGGAATTTGGATCGGTATCGATTACGGCAAGTTTGATGATATTACAGTAAAAGATGTGTGTCCCCTTCCAAAGATTGATGAGTTGTTGGATGCAATTGGATGAGCGCGAATTTTCAGTAAGTTTGATATCTGTCATAGATTCAACCATTCACTCGTTCGTAAGGAAGATCATCCAAAAATTTTCTTCGTCTCCCAATAATCGACGTAAGTGGCGCAGCCGAATTGAACGGCCTCCAACTTGAACGCTCCCCAAATCTTGGT